TACTTGTTGAAATGCAGTATCGATTTTATGTAATAAGCCTATTGTTACCTCAAGATTCAATTGAAATCAACAGAACAGCTGAGATTGAGAAATGTTAGATTCGTGAAGAAATGCATAACTTTTTCAAGAAACAGAACTTGTATTGGACAAACGCACAACTAACTGCACAACTAAACCATTATAAATATGGCCATATCTTTTGCCATTGGCATTACATTATTATAACAAGACACTAATGGAAATTGCTTCAACACCTGTTGCAATTATCCGTTCAATATGTGATGTCTGTTGTATTGCTACGATGCATTGCTCCATGATTTGTGAACGGGTATGGAAAAATGCTACGAATGTTTAACAACAGTAGTCTACTAAAAGTCTGGCTGGTGGAGCGCGGTGGCAGCTCTCAGACTTGCGGTTGAGTGGGTTTCCAGCTAGGATAAATATCGCTCAATCAGAGGCGTTTTATTGAACATGCCTTATTGAACGACCAACTTACGTTGTTCACTCACTACAATGAAATATTAAAAGTATATAGAATATAGGACAACAACAAATCTAAACAGCCTATACAGTTATCTATCTATTACTTATTTAATACGCAAGCACGATTTTTGTGACAATTACTCCTCCGAAACTACTGAACCGATTGACATGTTTTTGGTGTCATTGGAAAGAGCGTGAGGTGAAGTTGTGCAGGAAACCTTCTTTTTTAGGAAATAGTTAGAGAGTGAGGCCCTGGGGCCCTTTAAAGTTTCGTATTTCTCCATAAGGATAACAAGGGAGATCATATTTATTTACAGAAACATATGTTTGTTACTTGAAAATAGTCAAAGTCTACTACATAATAATTCCTGTGTATTATGACTGTTAATGTATACTACATTTCAATCAAGGATTGTGTGCCTTAAACTTTACTCATAATGGATCTCACTACTTTATTTCCATGCTGGGAATAGTAAAATTTAGTTGAGAATAAGTTACCATATTTAGAAAACTTTACTATAATAATTGATGTATTTAAAATCACAAATCTTTGACATTATTAATTCATTAGAAACGAAACAGCTGATCGAGAAATCAAACAAATCATCTACTTCATGTGAATCTATCTATATATTTAATACACAGTTGTAACACTGTTTTCTCAGTAATTACTGGACCGATCCACAAGATCTATGTGTCAAATTAAAGGGGATAATGCATAGATTTGCCGAACTTCATTAGATTTTACGTTTTTTCTAAGGGCTATGACCTACAGCCCTTCAAAGGTTGAGTCAATACAATTCTTATTGAAGAGTATAAATTATTACACAGTTTATAAATTATGCGTCAGCTGTTTAATATTTGTCATACATTTGTTATTATTTTTATAACCTCACTTTCAGTATGTAATATGTATTTGAACATTATTTGTGGCCTATGTTTTGGTGTAAATTTTGTATTTTTGAATAAAGTGTTAGTTTTCCTGAAGGAAAGTGTTATTGAAGTGATCTGAAGGAAAGTGGTAATTGAGTTTTAACATTTAAGCATGGAATGGGAAATCGTACCCATAGTAGGGGACGGAAACTTATTGTTTCGATCAATAACATTTTAATTCTCTATTGCCCTCATAGGGAAATCTGCTAGCAAGTTGTAGCCTACAGAAAATTTCTAATAAGTGGGAAACATACAAACATTTTACTATAGGGGATGAATCTTACTCAAGATCACTGTTTGGCGTTCAGCAGTACCAAACTCTACCTTCTCCAGATGGGGAGTACTCTGGATATGTGGAACTACAATTTATCGGTGAACCCCTATAACTATAGCCTATATATAATTTATACCCTATAACTATTTTTTTCGAGTACTCAGGGAAGTTGCTTGAGAACCTGAGACTTACGATTTTGGTTCTGGCGAAGAAGTGTGTGACTTCATGTTTAATGTCAATGTTGGCTCGGGTCATTACAGCGTTAAAAAGCTTTATAATAATCCCCAGGGTGTGAAAAGTACAAAAAACAAAAAGAAAAGGTGAAAAGTCATTCATTAACTGTGTGTAAAGAGACAACCAGAACGAACAAAACACGTAGAGAGCCATCGAACTAAAAAAGTAAATAGTAGTGATGGTGTTAAAATGGCTCTGTAAGTTCTTACAAAAAACACCGACTCTTTTGAATTGGGGTCGTTAAATTGGATTTTTTACTATTGCAAATCTATGAATACACCCGGAACGATATTATATCAGCGATCGAAGCCGTCCGTTCAGGAGTGAGCGCTCTTCAAGCGGCCAGGAAATACGGATTGCCTTCTAGAACTCTATACGACAAGGTAAAGAAACTCGGAATCATGACAGGCAGACCCTTAAGAAGAAGTTCCATCGGCAACGGCGGAGTCAGAACAGACTAACAGGGACACAAATATATTCTCCTTATATTGTCACAAGGGGAAGGCAAAATTAGCCCCTTATCAACATTCTGAGTTCATGGAAAAATTTATCAACGGGGATGAATAAAGTATTAGCCTAAGTATCAAAAGAAAAAAAAAACTTTCAAAAAACCATTTGAATAGTAAAAGATCATAGGCCTACAACTCTGCATTTGCAATGGAGAGATTATAAGTCTCACTTAGATGAATCAACATCATTCTGGTAGTCTATATAATTTTAAGATCCGGGACTCCTTTTACCACCACGGATTGTACCATGCTCTCTAACATTGAATCAACTTTAGAAGACGTATGCCCAACTTTAGAAGACGTAAACACAGTTGTTACTCACATAATGGGTCAAAGATCCGGGAAATGCGACCATCTGCTGATGCGTGATTTAAGTGACTCTCTTTATTTCACACAACGAATGTAAAAAAAAACAAATGTAGGAATATACATGACCAAATTATCTCCATAAGTAGCTTATTAGGTTATCAGCATTGCGCAGTTCATACAAAAACTATTTTTCATAAGAAAATCGAATTAATATTTTATGTAAAAAAAATCAAGCAGCCCCTAAATAAAACACAAAGATAAATGGTTTCATTTGTTCATTATTATGTCTTTTATTTCTGACAATATTCCCGTGGCAGAGCACGGGCGGTTAACTAGTTTTGTTAAATGATCAATACACCCTGAGTGGTTTGATTACAGACACGGGATGTGTCGATATGTTAGTTCTTCGTTTAGTGTTTCGTCTCTCTATGCGAGGGTATCAAAGAAAACTGTTTATAATCCCCCAGTATCCTGGATGTGTCAAGATGATCCGAGGTGACATATCGTAAATGTTGTGTGGCACGAGTACCAGGTCATTACGACAGAAGGATGGGACCGTGTCCATGTCAGATGGTCAATATAGTCAGTGACCACGACACTAGTAAGGTTGCCGAGAGATGGAAATTGTTCTTGACAGTCTTCATGTAAAACTACCCTCTACCAACCCAGTAGTGACTCAACCCTCGCCTCCCAATCAGATTATCAGGGGAGTTAATCCAATCGAGGGCTGCACGGATTGCCACACGAGTTCGATCAACTTTTGGGCAACTCATCACTAGTCGAATACACGATGGTTGGATGTGTATTTAGTGTACAACATAACGGTAACACAATTTTTGAGATCTCTTTTGAATAGCACAATTCACTCAGGTTTAAAAACAGTTTTTTTCTTTAGACAGTTCTCTGTGTAATAATATTGATTGGGATACTAGAAGCCAACTTTTATTCTTCTTGTAAAATATGAAGGTTAGATTATCTTTGTGGATCAGTTGAAGATGGTTTCAAGGTATATCTCTGTCCTGTGTGTCCTATGTAAAGAGGCCTAATAACCTCTATAAGAGTGATTTCTTAAGTATTCTTGTAAAAGTTGCATACCATTCCACCTCAATAAATTGTTACAAAATGAATTACTTTCAATATTGTATATAACATGTTTGAATTGTTGTATTTTATTTCAGTTTATGATTTGAGAGCTAATAACTAAAGACTCATACATTTCCATTAGTATACAGCATTAAAAAACACATCCAGATTGAAAGAAAAAAATCGCTAACAAAGTGTAAAAGACGAATTTAGGGATAGAGTTTTGGAGAATAGTCTTCCAACTTCAGTTTTTATAACTTTGTTATTTCCTATTTCCCGATTGCTATTTCCACAATGAGGTCACGAAGTTGGGATCCAAACTAATCATAACTAAACTTTAAGGGTCTCAATTCCATGGATTCATATTAGTTTTATTCACTATATGATTTAGAATTTAATTTGTTTGCAAAAACCTTTTTAGAACACATGTAGTTTTACTTTAAATGCAATTTAGAATTATTTTTAAATTAAATTTTTGTATTGGACCTGGGTAACTTTTAGGGGTTTCTTTTCTGAAACCCACAAACTCCCGGGACTGATACAAGCGTTGGCAATATTGAAACCGTACGATCTCATAAGTATGATATATTTCAAGGCTCCATTCGCTCAACCCGGTGTTGTGAAGTTTCGAACCTTTAGATTTCCGTCGTCTTGAAACTTATAATGTTTTACCAAGACTACATTTGAAAATTTTTTCGTTGATTTTTCCACAAATATTTTAATGTTTAAGTTATGCCACGAGACGTTAGTTGGTTGTCCACATTTAACATTTTCCTTTCATATCACCAGCTGTCCCTCATTCCCTGAATCGCCTTCGGTTATGTGCCTACCAATCACGAGTGGATTAAGAACCGTCCCTAGCCTAGCCAAAGAGCAAAAAACTACTTATTGTTGCCGAAAATGTACAATGTGCATACCTTGTATAGCTTGATAGCTGTGTGGTTTTAGTGCTCACATTACAATAAGAAGGTCGCCGGTTCGATTCTGTGAAATCTTTTTGATGGTTGAAATCGGACCTACCAGTCCAAAACCATTAGTTATGTTCTGAATAAGAAACCACATGTCTTAGTCAGTAGTTACTCAGCACACTCAGATACGCTATTGACTGTGCGCTGATTGACTGATTAATGCAGATTGTAGATTGGACTGACCGAGGTTTGTACGGTTTGTTGCAGAGAACGGCCTGCTGAGCTACGAGAACCCCAACTATCACCTGGACCCGTCCAGGCTGGATGACGCTCTCAACTCCAACACCGAGGAGGACCCTCTGTACAGCGAGCTGCTGCTGCGAGAACTGGGCCGACACAGCAACACAACACAGCACAACACGACACAGCGACGACAGTACGCCAGCCTCGACATCGGCAGCATGGGGGTGGACGTCACTACGGGACCTGTCACAGCACTGGACACGGACAACAGACATCTCAGGTCAGTCTAGTGGATAAAAACTGAAACAGGGCAGACGAGAAATACAAAAATAAATAACTACATCCTACAACAACAAACAGTGTAAATAAGAATCGCAACACTAAATCACAAACTCTGGAATAAACCACACAGGGTATTACACATATCTCAGTAAAACACCAACTAAGTAAACAAGAAATACAACAAAAATCGCAACCGAAGTGAAATATACTAAACACGACAACACAGCCAACATACTAAAATACTAAACAGAAAATTTGCGTACACAACAATTAATCAGAAACACAGCAAAAAGCTCACATTCAGCATATTGCAACGTTTGAGTACACAAAAAACTCAATAAAAATAAAAACGCAAAAAGCATCCCAATATGCGATAGCACAACATACTGAAACAAAAAAAGAAGATTAAACCAGAAACAACATCAAATCACTAACGCAGTAAAACCCATAGTACTAAAACCCATTATAGTAAACACAAAAAAAATTCACAAACATAGCGAAAAGTACATTACATGATCAGCACGACTCATCATACAGAACTTTAAAATCACACTCTGAATAGTAAAATAGCAATTAAGTAAAGTATAACACGACATAACACGAGAGTTAACAAGAAACAACAATAAATCACAAATGGAGCAAACATGATGATAAACTATAGCACTATAGCACAGGCAACACACTATAACATGAGTGTTAACAAAAAACAACAATAAATCTCAAACCGAGCATAATCACAATGCGCAAAATCACACTTTTACATTTTCAACACTAGAGTCAAATTATCCTTATATATCCGAGGCTATCTATCTATAATATTAAAATGAAACAGTGTTTTTTTATTTCACGATTCTGAATCAACCGATCGACGGATTTTCATGATTTTTGTGTTGAAAGAAAGATAATTTTGAGAACTAGGGAATGTCGAAGCCATAATTTTAGTTCAGGATCAAATTTTTTTTAGAATTTAAGTTTTAATTTTTTAAAAGTCTAGCAGCCGACGCTAATACTCTAAACTAGCTTTTGGCATAAAATAATTTGCTCAACATAACAGCTGTAAACATTCAGCTTTTGTGTCACAAATTCAGCATTTGGATAAAAATGTAAAGACATACTTAGGGTTGACTTATTTATACTATGTGTAATGCTAATCATTGATACGTTCAATTCTTCTGTAAGAGGGTGACAGATTGATTAAATATACATAGTAAAATACTAGGATGTTTAAATGATTTTTTAAAGCAATCTTTGTAATCTTAGATTTGTTTTAGAGCAATATGATTTGTTTTAACAGCTGGTTAAATAAAAACTATGGAACTATGAAATTATTTTATTTACTCTTATTTTGTCATTGATTATAGGAAATAAGTAAGATTAGTAGAGATAATTAGACCACAGTTTAAAATAGTTTAGACCAAAATTAATTAAACCACAGTACAAATCGAGGCTCTGTACACGAGTCTTAATAAATAAGGATAAATGCAAATTATTTTACCTCTCCACTTTTAAAGGAAAGATTAGAAAAATAACAATGTTTACATGTTTTAATTCTTCATGGTAGCTTTCTGTTTACAATTAATGTTTGTCTGCTTTAACTTTGTTTGAATTAGGCCCGGAAATATTGATGTCATAAAAAGAAGATCAAGAATAATCAGGAATCACGATTTTAAATTACCACCACAACCTCAGCCGGGTTTTATACAAAGATAAACAGTCATGGATGACATAGATTGAACACAACATCAACATTGACCAGGATACTGCCAATTAGACAAACCATCCTTTTATGAAATCGTGTTCAGTTGTGGTTACGTTCGGGGGCGCCTATATCAGCGCCCCCAAATGTGAAAATATCACTTTTATTTCAACTATGAATATATAGTAGTTTAAATTAACTAATATGGGAAATTACGATGCACATTTATTCAATGAGGGTGGGTAATTATCAAGGATAGAACCGACAACGGTATGGATAATAAACATTGGCAATTACGTCATTAGCTTTACTAACGTGTTTACTTTTTATATTCCTGCTACATGTGACCAGTTCTTTTTTTTCAAATGAATGTTATTTGAACCAAACAGCTGTTTCAAAACAAATTGTTATTGTTTTTACTTTTCTTTGTTTACACTTATTTATTTAGCAATTAATACAGTGAAATTGATATAAAGGATAGGTGTGACGATTAGTTTTGATGTTAGGACACCAAAGTTTAATATGTACTGAATGTGTAATGAATTTTATTGGATACTATCGTTTTATTTTAGGTCGTTTCCATTCAGACCTACTGGAAATTGTGTAGGCCTATAGTAGTTGTATTGGGGTGATAATAATTATGGAAGAGGCAGGTATGCTATGGAAGGTGGTATCTTTGACTAGGTATATACACTTCTCAATTGACTATTACTCTCTCTACTTTAGGCTACTTATAATCAGTGTGCTTCTGTGCAAATCGGCTGCAAATTTCACTTCAACGCTTTTCACATCGTAAAAATTGCAGAATCGCTGTTTTATTGTAAAATTATCGGATTTAAAATGCATATCGTATAGGCCTATGATGGAATAAAAACACATTTGGTCACATTACATTTGTTTATAAGATGATTTTTCACATTAAAACTGCAAGAAACTTTGTCTTTATATGTGTAAACTAGCTGATCTGAATTGTACACGGTTTTAACTGACTACTGAATTCCCGTACGTAGGACGGGCTAACACCTCGTAGATTGTTACTTGTAATCGGTTAGTCCCGTTCTGTTTCACTGCAGCGATATTGTCAGTGTGATTTCTAAGGTTCTAAATTAGTCTTGCAAAAGCGCGATGAAAACATGTATCTCTGTAGGGGAAGGTATATCACACAGCTGTACAATTAGCCGTACCATGACAACGTCATCCGCCGCAGTAAGCTGATGCTCGTTATGTAGGCTGGTAGGAAGGTGTAAGGTGAGGTGTAACCTACAGGCTACTCCGAGATGTGAGTTATGAGTCTGCTCTCGCCTCTCTACCCGGATTTATACAGGCCAACGACCCAAATGGCAGCAATTGTACTTCTGTTTCGGCGGACTTAATGATTATTGCCATTTTCTTGGCTATAATGCTCAAGTAAATTGCCAAAGTACTTACTTAAAAGCTGGAACAAACCACATTCGTTATATATATAGTAGTTTATTTTGTGTCAATTAGTTCTTGGCTATTAAAAGTTGGTATAGTAATTAATATAATAATAGGTTATGCAAGATAATTTATTATTCGGCTTTATTCATATAATACTTCAAAAATACGGCTTTCAAAGTCCTTATCCACTAACATTTGTGACAAAAGTCAATTAGTAGAGATGATCAATATTTCTGTCTGCGGCATTGTATTCGATCAAATACGATTCAAACCTACGGCATTATCTTACAAAACCCGTTTTTCTTACTTATTTGTAATCTCTAGGTTGATACTGATACACGTTTAGTTCAGAGACACTCTCAAAGTTTCTCTGTGCTGCGTTAAAGAGTCACTGATAACGCACGTTTTATCACTAACTTGTCGGCCGACCCCACTTTAACTTTACAACCTCCCGCCAAATCACTTCCTCGTCATAAACATAAATGGCGGCTTGTCACCTTAACATCGTAACCGCCTCGGCCTAGCTTGATATCAGGGCTGAAACTTTATATGAAGCTTCATATAAGATAATCTTCTATAATATTAAAACGAAACAGGGTTTTTTTATTTCACGATTCTGAATCAACCACTCGACAGATTTTCATGATTTTTGTGTTGAAAGAAAGATAATTTTGAGAACTAGGGAATGTCGAAGCCATAATTTTAGTTTAGGGTCCCAGTTATTTAGAAATTAAGTTTTAATTTTTGAAAAGTCTAGCAGCCGACGCTAAGATTCTAAACTAGCTTTTGGTGTAATATAATTTGTTTAACATAACAGCTGTAAACATTCAGCGTTTGAAACATAAATTCAGCATTTGGATAAAATTAAAAGACATACTAAGGGTTGACTTATTCATACTATGTGTAATGCTAATCATTGATACGTTCAATCCTCCGATAAGAGGATCACAGATTATTTAAATATACATAGGTAAAATACTAGGATGTTCAAAGGATTTTTTAAATAAATCTTTGTAATCTTCCGTTTGTTTTAGTGCAATATATTTTTCTTTTAACTAACAGCTGGTTAAATATAAAAATGCTCTGTAGAACTATGAGGTTATTTTATTTACTCTGATTTGTCATTGATTTTTAGAAAATAAGTAAGATTAGTAGACCACCGAGAAAAGTAACACCATCGATGTATACAAGTCGAGGCTCTGTACACGAGTCTTAAAAAAAGGATATGCAAATTGTTATACTGCTCAACTTTTTTAGGAAAGGGTAGGAAAATCCATTTTTTACACGTTTTAATTCATCTTGGTTTGTTTACAATCAATGTTTTTGAATGATTAAACTTTGTTTGGATTAGGCCCGGAAATATTGATGTCATAAAGAAGGAGATCAAGAATCCTCAGGAATACAATTTTAAATTACCACCACAACCCAGACGGGTTTTATCCAAAGATATACAGATATGAATGACATAGATTGAGCACAACGTCATCATTGTCCTAGGATACTGCAATAAGACTAACCATCCTTTTGTGAAATCTAAAAAGTTGTTTGGCGTGTGTTTAGTTGTGGTTACGTTTGGAGGCGCTGAATATTTTATAGTTTAAATAAATGAATATGGGGAATTACGGTGTACATTGATTCAATGAGGGTGGTTTAATTATTAAGGATATTAGAACTGATAACGGAATGGATAATAAACATAGACAATTAATTACGTCACTAGTTTTACTAGCGTGTTTTACGTTTTAAATTCCTTCAACATGTGACCAGTTCTTTTGTTCAAATGGATATTATTTTATTTTTGACTAAGCTCTTCACCAAAACAAACTATATGTTGTTGTTTTTACTTTTCTTTGTTTACACTTATTTATTTAGCAATTGATGCA